TGGTCCATTATCAGCAGGGAGATTGACTGAGGTGTTAGGTAGAATTTGGGAACTGGACGTAATCCCATCTGACTGGTCTCAATCTCTGATTGTGCCAGTCTATAAGAAAGGACAAAAGTCCTCTTGTGACAATCACAGAGGAATCAGTTTGACTAATATAGTGTCTAAAATATTAGCCTCAATAATACTTCGACGCCTAATCAAAGCTCGTGAAGAGCAGATTAGAGAAAACCAGGCCGGTTTTCGACCTGGACGTGGTTATATAGACCACATATTAACACTTTGTCAGGTTCTAGAACATAGACACACATTAAGACGCCCCACAATCGTAGCATTTCTCGACCTTGAGGCGGCATTTGACTCTGTTGGTCGTGAGATTCTATGGCAGTGTTTGTCACTGAAAGGAGTACCAAAGAAGTACATCAATCTTGTAAAGGCTCTCTACTCGAACATAACCGGTCGAGTAAGAGCTTATGGCGAATTGTCATCAGAAGTGATTACCTCAAGTGGTGTTCGTCAGGGCTGTCCACTCTCTTCATTCTTGTTTAACTTTGTCGTTGATGTGCTTGTAGAGATGACACTTTCCTCATCTAAATTCCCAAGGGTTGAACTTTTACCGGGAGGTTCACTTGTTGACTTAGAATATGCAGATGACATAGTTTTATTTGGTGAAGACGCTGACAAAATGCAGAGTCTTCTGACCACTCTAAGTAACAATGCAAGCATGTTTGGGATGCGATTCTCCCTCTCGAAATGCAAAATGTTGCTTCAGGATTGGGTTGCATTGACACCCGAACTAATGATAGGGAGTGAAGTAGTTGAGCGTGTCGATCGCTTCACTTACCTTGGAAGTCCCATCAGCCTTTATGGTCTGGTGTGTGACGAAATCTCAGCACGGATATAGAAGGCTCAACTAGCTTTTACCAACTTGCGTCATTTATGGCGTAGGCTAGATATCCGTCTATCAACCAAAGGACGTGTTTACTGTGCAGCAGTTCGTTCCGTCCTATTTTACGGCAGCGAAACATGGCCGGTAAGAGTAGAGGATATTTGTAGGTTACTAGTATTCGACCATTGGTGTCTTCGAGGGATTGCTCGTATATCCTTGAACCACTGAATAAGTAATGCAGATGTTAGGAAACGGGTACTCGGTAAAGATGGCATATCAATTGACGAAGTAGTGAAACTTCATCAGTTGAGATGACTAGGACATGTGTTATGTATGCCCAACAACCGACTGCCTCGACGTGCGATGTTCAGTGGTATAGGAGTAGGTTGGAAGAAAGCTAGGTGCGGCCAGACCAAAACATGGCATAAGTCCATAAAGTCAGTGACAAGTGGACTGAGCCATGTTGGTAGGTTATAGAATACGTGGTTGGGGACCGCGAGATAATAGCAGCTGATGGTTAGAGACCCTGAATGACATGGCTCAAAATCGTTTGCAGTGGTGCAGGTGTATCCACTCTTTGTGTTCTCCCATATTCTAATCTTCTGAATTCTCCATGTCCCTTTTTTTCTCCATCCAAATTTATTTCATTGTATTATACTCCTTGAATAATGTCTTCAAACCCTAATCTTTCCGATTACTGCTTATACTCTTACCGCCTCTACTACTACGGGATTTGAATCGGCAATTGTATTTGCGTGCTAATGTGGTGTGGCAACTCTAACTGATGTACGTACGTACGAAGTTCTACATTGTTACTGACTGACTGACTGACAGGTACACCTTGCTGACGAGTGCCAAGTAGCTTGAAACCCGGGTCCCGGGTATCCTGTTGACCAATCACCATCTTATCTCAATTAATAACATTGTTTGCAGGTAACAAACAAGCAATGAGAATTAGCGAAATAAATGGATTCATGTTATTCTGTTAAGTTTTTCAATTAATCAGTTTTACAGACTAAGGTTGATGATTATAATTTGTTGATTGTTAGAAATGTATGGGCTTCATATGAGCCTATGGATTCAAACTTGATAACAGTTATTTGAAATGCCAACCTAATAATGCTATTCTGCTTAGTTCATTACATATATTTACCAATAAGAACTGATGTTACAACTTAGTAATTTATAACCTTTGAGTAGTTGACAAAAACTATTTTTGTTATTTTGTTCGTATATGTGAAATAATTGGTAGTGTTCAAGCGCTAAAATGAATAACATTTTTATCAACAAACTTAGTTAAAACAATATAAAACAAAGATGTAAATAAATGCGAATGAATAACAGTATCATAATTTCTTAATGAGATTACCACTATTTCAATGTTGTAATATGTCCAAGCGAATAAATAATTGTAAATTATGTATGAACATTTTGACGGAGTTATAAAATATTTAGTTTTTAATAGCCACTGGTGATGAAACTATACTTTCTAAGCCATTACTCTTTATTTTTCATAACGAATGTCTCAATTAGTTAAGATAATTTGCCTCTAGTTTTCTAGGTGAAGATAATCATTTGGGATATCGTTCATTACTACAAATCATCTGAAAAACTGTAGGTACTCTTAAAGTAATAAAAAGTTTTCAATATTTAACAGCGATCTTGTTAGCCTCACGTGATTTCTGGGTGTAGGTCTCTGAATCACGAAGTGAAAATGATCTACACACGGTATAAAGCCATCAGTTAACCATATCCTCATAACTCAGGTTGTGTGAAAACATTATTTTTATAATCCGAACTACTTATACAATCAACAGTAGGCAAATATGTTATCAAAAAGCTTCATACAAAAATAAGACAAATGACTGAACAACAAATTACGTGTAGATCGTTATATAAAGTCGATGGTGTTTTACTGTTGATAAGGTCTAACAACCTAATTCCTATACCATAATGCGACAGTCTCTAAGCCTAGACCCAATGATCTATGTTTTATGTCAGACAAAATAATTAGAATTGAACACAATAATCAAACAACAATTTAATATCTTTATCGTAAGTAAATTTTAATTCATTTTTGTATTGGTTGTCTGAATCTTCCCATTGATGTTTTGTACTGCAATTGATCAGTCTCTTATTAGCATATGTGCATTCTGCCTCGATATTAACTTAAGTTTCAAGAATTCTGAGCAGAAATGGATGGTGGCTAGCAGTGAACGCGCGTTTCGTCCTATTTGGGACTTATCAGCTGGATATATCTGCATCCCAGAGTTCATATCTACTTCGAGACTAGCGTTTGAATCAAACGGTAATGGGTTTGGGTCTCTAAGTGGTCATCAACTCTGGGTCTCAGGTATATCCAGATGTCAATTTTTACCATCCATCTCTAAATTTTAAATTTGCTTCTCTGTATATCAGTAATTCCAAAGGAATAAACTAATTCACAATTATTGAACCTCTCACATACAAATTCTCCGAAATTTACGTTTTTTAGCCTGTTCTGGTTAATTTTAACTTAAACACTTTGAGTAATACATGTTGACATAGAGATTACTATTCTGTGTAAATATATACACACGCTACAAAAATTAAATTCTTTTACAGAAAATTAAACTAATCATTGAAACTAATGAGTCACTTCTGTTACCATACTAAAAGTTGTTTATGCCCTCAGTGAATATTAATTAACTGTCAGAATAGTTTGACAAACTAGACTGTTTTTATAGTGCATAAAAAACACTAATAATTATGAATAATTCCAGATAGAATGTCGTTATGACTGAGATAAAAAAAAACCCTGAATTTTAACTGTTTATGATGACACAATTATGAACTACATTCTTTTTCAACAGTGAAGCTAACTGAAAGCAGTTAAATGGAACCTTCTCAAGTAAGAGCTGGATAATTACAACAAGTTTATTGTGGATTACACTTTTAGAAGATAAATTACACTCAGTAATCTGGAAAATATCAAGTCACAGTTATTTTATCGGAAAAAGTAATCGTTTACTGAAGAATGGTTCATATCATATAGTCTAGTCTACCATATGGATATACTTATGGTAATCAGGTTCACTTGGTTGCCGATATGATCTGGGATTTAATATCCTAATGCATGTAATTTAATGTTAGACAATTTGAACAGTCGGTAGAAAGTTCTTAAAATCAAATTACTAGGGTTTAATTGTGATTTTCATTTTTAATAAAGCATAGAGCGAAAAACTGACCAACGTCGTTGTACAACATTATGACAAATTTTCGGAAGCAATTAACTTAATTTCTGCTTAAGTGAATATGGGTTTTTTTCAATTTGTTGATCATCAGTCATCAACCGTATGTTTCTTGATTTGTCTAAAATTCACATGTAATTAGCAAGCACTAATCACCTTATAAGGAAATAAATGAATCAATTATACTACATTTGAAAATAGAAATCCCCAAAATTGTTACTATCTATCTATCTATCTATCTATCTATCTATCTATCTATCTATCTATCTATCTATCTATCTATCTATCTATCTATCTATCTATCTATCTATCTACTATCTATCTATCTATCTATCTATCTATCTATCTATCTATCTATCTATCTATCTATCTATCTATCTATCTATCTATCTATCTATCTATCTATCTATCTATCTATCTATCTATCTATCTATCTATCATCTATCTATCTATCTATCTATCTATCTATCTATCTATCTATCTATCTATCTATCTATCTATCTATCTATCTATCTATATATCTATCTATCTATCTATCTATCTATCTATCTATCTATCTATCTATCTATCTATCTATCTATCTATCTATCTATCTATCTATCTATCTATCTATCTATCTATCTATCTATCTATCTATCTATCTATCTATCTATCTATCTATCTATCTATCTATCTATCTATCTATCTATCTACAATTTTATAGATTTTGAAATCTTAAGTTTTTTTTCAAGTTATGGATAGTGAGGAAGCATGGAATGTGAAATGTGTTAGGTCACTCAAAAGGTGAATACAATTCCCATATATTTTACATCTCTTTTAGCATTATCAGATTACTATAGTTATATCTATATTAAAAAGTAACATGGTTATTTGAAACTTACACAAATGATCCAATGTTAACTGAATGATCGATCATTGTTTCATTTTGAAACTGTTTAGTATACTCTAAGTTATGTTTGGGAAACGGTATTTCAGTACTGGTTTCAGTGTTACTAATTGATTCACTGAATTTTTTTGTTAAATTTTTATTTGATTTTGAATAAAATGGATGAATTGATTTTTGTGAACTACGAGATCTTGGTGAAGTCGGTAATTCTGCTCCATTGATAGTCTGGAAATACAGAAACATAGTCAAATATTTTAAAACAGAAAATAATACTTGAATAAATTTTAGTGACTTATTAAATGAATACTTTTAATTATAGTATTTGACCCCTTGAAGTAAAAGCTGATCAAGTTTACTTCAGCTACTAAGGAACTAAACTTAATAATAACTCAAAATAAACTAAATATCTGTACATTTCTCTTATTAGTTGATAAGTAAATGACCGAGGGAAGTGATATTCATGAAAGTATCCATTAGCAGAAATAATCGATTAAATAATTCTTAAAGCGTTTAATTATTTGAGCAGGTGATTTCATGGCACTGATTAACTTGGAAGAGTTAATACGACAATTTAGTTTTAGAGACAGGTATCCACCTCAAACAATGGATGAATGGTTACGCAGCCATTCATGGATCTATCGAAGTTAGACATTAACACCGTTGGATGCCGACCAGCTCAGTGGTCTAGAGTTTAAGCGTTCGCTCACGAAGTCGAAAGTCTTGGGTTTGAATCCCGCGTGCAGGATCGTGGATGCGCACTGCTGAGGAGTCCCACAATAAGACGAAATGGCCGTCCAGTACTTCCAGGTTTTCCATGATAGTCTAGCTTACATCTACTTATGACTTCAACTATTGAAATTACTACAATTTCTATAAACCCCATTCTTATCATAATTTAGTTTCAAACAAATTTATTTCATTTCATGTTTTAATAAATCCAACTAATAATTTGAAAATAAAATTGTTATCTATACTTCCATAGTTTTTGATGAGTAATTTACTTAAATCCACACTTTAGTATAATCTCATGTAATTTGGATAGTCAGTAAGAATATTAATATAGCAGATAATCGTTATGAATAGAAGAGAATTAACTGTACTTAAGATAAAATGTTAGTGATGTCTGCTTTTGGCTCGTGTTTAAATACTATGGTAGTCTTATGTAAACAGATTTCCTGATATTAAAAATTCTTAATTGGTTTATACATTACGAGTAGAGATAACTAGCCATAGATGAGGACCACTACTAAGGCACGAGTTTACATTTGACAGATGAAAATGAAACCAACTTTTATACATTTCTAGTTACAAAACCAGTATTACTTATATTTTTACACCTTTTAACCACGGTTCCACTCCGAGTAGATTCACTCTTATATAGAGGTACAATAATTTCATATTGATCTGAAGTGAGAACATCCTAAATTCCAGTAGTTCAGACGTCAGTAATATGAATTGCATTTTCTGAATTCTATGCAGAGTACGTTCATAGAAGTTGCTGTTTTCAAACCTTAGACAAGATATTTCCATTTATTGGAATGATATAATTAATATTTAAGGAAATATTTTGTAATAATCACTTTATTACATTGATTATCTACCAGTTTAACCACGATTTTAACGATCATTTGTTGTTGTCGGGTTATTTATAAAACCTCAGTAAGTTTGAAACGAATAAAAATCTTTGATTCTACAGTTATTCACTATTATAATCTATTAATTTCCTCCAGTTTTTATTATAACGATCATAGACTACAGCGCTGTCATGACTTTCAAATAATGTGGTTTCTATTGAGGTCGTCACCGAAACCAGAGATCAAATGTTTTTATCCCCTAATTAAAAGCTGAGTATCTTTTATTTGTTCACAACTGAATTCTTGGCAACTAATAATAAAAAACAGGGACCTATTTTGGTTTTCCGAATAGTTGCGAAATTACCATTCCAATTCCTATTCTTTGAAATGTTGTACTTACATAAGTAGTAAAGTGATATTGTAATTTTTGCCTTCTTACCTTGACAGGTTTCTGTCTTATAGGTTGCACTGAAGCTTTTGGAATTTCAACTGATTTACGTGAATTTGAAATATTGCTACAATTTTTTGAAAAGGATTGTGGATTTAGCTGGAGATTAGAGATTTCCAAAGTACGGTTAGATTCATATTTTATTGGTTTTTTGTGAGTCACAACTGATACTTCAGTTTCTGAAGATGATGTAATCAACATATCAACAGGATGTCTTGTATCTTGCAAAATATTAGATTCTATCACTTGAGTTTGATTTTGTTCAGTGTTATATTCACTAGTATGTGAATGTAGTTTTTGATCTCCATGTAAAGAAGAAATTGTAGTTGGAACATTATCAGATGATTTGATAAATGCTAAATTTGATGATTCTGAATTTACTTCAGAACTTTTACTCAACATTTGTACTGAAGGAAGTAATTTCAAACATTCAAGTTTATCCAACGGAACAGTATCATAAGCATGACAATTATATCTACTCGATGTAGCTTTTGGAATTTTCGTTTCATACTGACGTCCATTCAGATTAAATGGTTGTAAATTAGTTTGTGATGAGTTATTTTTAACAGATAATCGGTTAAAACTGTATATCAAATAAAATAAAATAATGTTTTTAGTTTCCAACCGTTGCATTAAACTTAACAGAATATGATAAATTAATGTTCTATACTGTTACATATATACTGCATGGTGTTGTATCCTATGAATTTATTATTTGAATATTAATTTATTTCATTATTTCCAATAGTTGAGATCATGATACAATTGAAGCTAGAACACCATGGAAAACCTGGAAGCACTGGACATGGATGCGCACTGCTGAGGACGAAACGGCCGTCCAGTGCACCCAAGTATTTCATGGCGATCTAGCTTCAGTTGACTCATCATCTCAACTATTGAAATTACTATAATATCCACAAAACCCCCTAATGATATTCTTTTATTTTGCTAGAAATAACGGAAGTATTCATTTAATCCTTTAAAATACTTTTATAATCTACTAGGTTGTTACCATTACAAAAATAAAGATTCCTGACAAGTATAGTTGTTAAAAAATTACAATGATATTAATATGTTTAATAATCTTTTGTTTCATCATTTAGCTAGGTATATAAATCTAGTCTACTGATATCATAAACAGACTAATGATATTAATCAATATCAAATTGATTCTGGCCTGATGACAAAAGAATGTTCTGTAGCATACATGAAAACCTGTCACATATTATTCTCAAATTCCTAGACAGTATACAGTTTAAAACAATTAGTCCCTTCGGTAAATTTCGATAATGCCATGAGAAGATGAAGTTTATCAGAGTTATGTGATATATTTGCGCAATACATTTTGAACAATCTGATCACACATATGCTTGTTAAGACATTTTTATATGAAAATTAAAAGGTCGACTAGATGGTTTAATGGTAAACCTTAACAAAGAAAAATAAAGTACACGAAAACAACGTGATAACCACTCTGTATAATAAATCAGTATTACCAGGGTAGGTTAAGGGTGGGTAAGAGCAAATTGTTTTTGAACATATAAAGGGGGTTTCAGTTTCCTTATAACCGAGGCTTCAATAAACCTTAGTATACGTCCTTGAAGGCTTTTGTATAACACTACAAATGCTGATTTGACGTCAACCTTATGACCAGTGTCAATTAAATGTTTCGCAAGGGAGGATGACGTCTGCCTATCTTGTGATCTTATTTGATACATTGTTTTTGTGTACTTTATTATTATTATGTTTTCTTTGATACGGCTTACCTTTAGACTGTCTAGTCGACCTTTTAAGTTACATTTAAAAATGTCTTAACATGTATATGTGTGATCAAATTGTTCGGAATGTATTGCGCATATATACCACACAATTCTGATAAACTTCGTCTTCTCATTGCATTATCGAGAATACAGTTAGTTAGTGTTTTCATTTGCAAGATTCATTACGAGCCATTTTTTGAATTTCAAAAAATATTTATAACTGAGGGTACTAAACTTACGTTCATGCGCATAAACATACTTTGATGTACAATTTTAATTTAATTTAAACCTACTAGTTCTTATCTCGAACATCTTGAAGTTCTGTGAATATTGAAGTTGTTTAAGAAGTTAATATCACTGGTAACCGTTTTTCGGAAAGGCTTAAAACTAAAATCTTTCATGTGTTTTTGTATGTCACCGAAAGTGTAATTAGTTAAGACCATTAAGTGACTGGTTGCAGTTGCTTATTGTTTTTTGTATAATAAACTTGAAATTAAAGAATTAATTTCCACCACTTTAACTATGCGTTACACTTTAAGCGAGTTTGCTGATAAACACCAATTAAAATCCTAGTGGAGATGAAGGAAATTTATTTTCGGGAAGACCCCTATTTCTCGCTTAATAGTGGTCTCAAATAGACAATATGATTTTCATCAGAAAATAATCTTACTAAACTCAAATATGTTCCGGTAATCTCTCAAATAAATTTAATACAATAAATACTACTAATATGCGAGAAAAGTTGTCAGTAAATTTATCAGTCAACAACCATAAAACAATTCAGTAAATAAGCAAAGATGGATGGTGGCTGTCGGTGGAATAATAGATTCCATGATTCCACCGACAGCCACCATCCATCTTTGATTATAAAGTTTGTGACTTAAGGCAATATTGAGGCAATCCGCAAAGGATGCATATATACCAACAAGAGACTGATCAATTGCAGTCGTAAACAATAATGAAAAGACAGAAGCAAATGAATCCAGTAAATATTCAGAACAATCAACTCAAATTATATACAAACCAGTAATTTACAAGAAAATGTAACAGATAAAAATTGTTTTAGCAAGCCTCATTTTTTGCTGCAAATAACTAATAAATCATAAACTTAACCCGCTTTAAGGGACACTAGTGTAATTTGAGAGGATTGTCTCCATAAATTGTTATTGTTAACTACATTACAATCGGATTAAGACCTGTATATTAAATTTTACGTTTACGGAATTTATCTAACTGTAATTATTTTCTATCTTCAGGTAGTATGCAGATGTTTTTCAGGACATTAAGATAATTAGGTAAACGTGAATGTCTTATTCAAACAAATGTAATTGTGAGTTGCTACTGCATCTAGACTAATAACTAGTTTAGTTGATTTTCTTTTAATAAGTGAACCATATATACTGAAATCAATCTTCTAATCAAAGAATTTCGATGGAGTTTTGTTCTCTGGATGATTTGGTCGTGGAGTTTTAATCATTATTGTAAACAATAACAAGTTTAAGGTTAACAAGAACCAATTAACATCGAGGTCTACAAGGTAAGCTGTGAACCACATGTGGAGAAATTCGATTACTTCACTTCTACCTGAATTCTGTGCTGATGATGTCACTCAGAAGAATGATCAAAAGCTCAACGACCAAACCATCCAGCTCAGAGAACAAAACTCCATCAAAATCACCCACTTGCGCTACAAATCTTCTCCACCATCTGAAAACCAAAGAATTCTTAGGTTTAATTCATTAAATATTTCCAAGATATCAGTCCACCAATACATCTGAATTTTTAATTAAGTGTGATGAACCTAAGTTGGCAGTCAGTGTACTCAACTGCCAATAGCACCATTTCTGTTATTAACTGGACAGTACAGAACAACAACCAGCAAGTGAATTGAAACAAAAACTTGCTTATTGTTAGCATATTTCAGAATTAAATTGAAATGAAGCGAATCTTCTACTGATTAATTATAACACGGATTTAAAAATCAAAGCAATATGGAACAAAAATCACAATGAATAAAATCAAGATTATGTATTTTTATCCCATTCTATCAATTACCAATAAAATCACTCAATAAGATCAATTAGATATTGTTCCATATACATGACAACTTATATTTGAAGTTTGGCTTTCATAAGGTTTCCTTTTGACATCCTTCTCTGTATCAATATCAAATATCTAATCCAATAAGTTCTGATTGATAAACTGATACAACAACGATTTAGTTTTATCATAATACTTTTTTTTCAAAAATATGTTAGATATCATATGATGTAAAAATTGAGTATATTATAATGGAACAATTTTAAGTCTTGATTTTAACAAATACTACATCAAGAATTTGGCATAATATGAAGACAAGTAGATACTCTCAAACACTTGATCAATATAAGTAACTAATGAGAACCTTTTCGACAAGAATGTTGGCAGCGTTTATTGTTTTGAGAAACCGTGAAAGCAGTTATTGATTACTTTAAGATATTTTACAATCAATTTGTACTAGTCATTTTATTAATGAGTCCGTATAATTTCAAATGGGGATTTTCAATTGATATCTAAGCATATATAATAATCAATAGATATATATATCGATCCTATGTTTCTCATTAACCGGAAGTGTAGTGTAGACTAGTGAACTTGTACACCAAGGAAACCTAGAAGAGGAGCTCCTAAACGAAAAAATATCAAAACACAACTACCAGATTCAGTTGGAATGAAAGTTTAAACACAAATACTTTAGGAATACTTTGAAATGCTTCAAAAGTACACACATTTTATTATCTCATGTTGGTAACGATTTGAAAAATTAAATAAACATTTGAATTTTACCTTTGCTGTGTATTTTGATTGAATTCCCTGAGTTCAGAGTTTAGACTTGAACTACGACTAATAAAACCTGACTGTGTACTGGATAAATTCGGAAAATCACTGAAATGAGAATCATTTGATAACACAGTATCTCGTTTTGTACTTTGTTTTGAGAATGATAAACTAGTTGGTGTTCCTGACTTATCCACACCCATATATGATGCACGAACAAATAAAGCAGCTCTTCCTAAAGTGGGAGTTCTTGGGCGACGGAGAAGCACGGTAGATTTGGAGGCAACAGGAGTTGGTGGATAAACTTTCTCGCATGTCGAACAAGATTCTATGTTTCTATCACTAGATGTTTCTGAAAACCTATCTGATGGTGTAACACTAGAACTTCTCTGTCCACATTTAGGTGGTTGAATCATCACATTAGTACAGTTGTCATTCTTGTAGCTACTTTCTTCAGGATTAACACATTCGTTTGAACACACTGTTGAATTTTTTGTTTCATTGGAATCAAATATATCTGATTTTTCTTGATCAGGCCACTGCAAACTCATTTTGACCGTTGATGGAAGGTAGGTTAAACTTGACAAAAATATCAATAAAATAAAAAGTTGAGATGTATTGAGTATTATAAATTCGATGAACACAATACTTGTTTTTATACTATGTGTACGTCGAAATTTTCATAGGAATGCCCTAGTAAAAAAATTTCAACTAAAGTTCCGTAAATAAGTAGTTCGCAACCGATATAAGATTGCTAGATTATGCTCTCAATGTCCTGTGGACTCTGAATTTATTGGTTAGAATCAGTTAAAGACTAAAGTTATGACCTGACTACAGTTCTCATCGAGAAAGACTGTCAGCGAATTATGTTTAAGAATACGTTATTAAATGATCAATCAAGTATCTATCTAAATGGCGATAGTATTTAACAAAAATAAACTTATTAATTCATATATTATTAAAACTTCGTGACTAGAATTGGTATGTCCAAGTTTGTGTCGCTATTAAATAACATTGAGAGCTCGGTTAGTGAATCATAAGAATTATGAAGTGAGCGAAAGAAACAATTTAAATAACGATTTCTGTAATCAAGTATTTCCATTATAGTATAAAGTGAAACAAACAAGTCTAGAGATTTTTAATTTCGTCCAACATAATTGTGTGTCATTCTTGTTTGGATTTGAAAATTATGACATTGAGTTAAATACATGCCTAGGTATAACCTAATTGCAAACTTTTATATAAATTCTATGTATCAATAATGTATTTTATTCTGTGATTAAAGTGTAAACATCAACTCTGAGATGCCGGTACATCCCAAACAGGATGAAATGCGCGTCCTGGATCCCACTGCTAGCTACTATCAATCATTACTTATAAAGGGGATATTAACATTTTATTAAAATTGTTTTAGGGATTTTAAGTATCTGAAATCTTCATCGGATCCGAATTGTTACTATGACGTCAGTTCATAATTCACATACATTTATGAGTTCTAATAAATAGTCAGTTTATTAATTTACAACAAATTTAGTCAAATATTATGTTTTAGATCTTCATTGAACTATTGTAAATCGAATTCGCTTGAAAGTTTGTTGTGTAGGTATAATTATTTGTACCAGTAATTAGCTGCTGTCTTGAATCACAGGGAACAGTCAGTTGTATTGTTAACATTGGGATTATTAATGTCGGTTGTAGTACCTCTAATCTTGATGTACTAGTCGATTATGTCATCCACTATTCATTACAACCAATTAACATTCTCTCAGATAGAGCTTGTGAAAAATGATGAAGCATATGTATTTTTCAACGTTTCTATGAAAGGAACTTGGATTGTTTTTATTTCGAGTTGACTAATGTCTTTTAAGCATCAAACAGTGGTAAAAAAGTCAATTATTAACTGAATTTTTGAAAAACTACTTGAAATTTCACTATTTCTGAGTGTCTTGAACTCGTCAGTATCCTATTTAAGAACACCTATGGTATCACCACGAAGAAATCAGTATTTAATAAGTTTTTAATATAAATTTCTCCAAATTTGTATTCATGCACGAACTATATACGAGGTATAAGCAATCTGAAAACTTACCTTTGATTGACTGAACCTTCTAAAGCAAGATACTTGACGAAATGTGAGTGTTTAGCTGAAACATTTCTTATTGCATCGAATGGGGATATTTCATTATTAAGTAAATCTGCCTTTTGCTTTTTTGATTTGTTTGTAAACCCAATCCTGAAGAAGCGCTATAGGATGGTAAAATATAAAGAAATCAAAAGAACAGATTACTACAATCAGTCGTAAATGTTAAAAACATTTTTAACCTTCGTTAATTTAACTTCAAATAAAACCTTTTATTTGAGGTGTAAAATTTAGGGATTTCATTTTACTACACAATAAATGAAAATATCATGAAATACAGGGTTTTCAAATGATTTTGATTTAGTGAATGCATCTCATCTCTTCACCAAAAATGTACGCTCCGGGAGTTAGTAAGACGAGTAAAGGAAGATGGTTCGGCATGAGTTCACCAAAGCGATCCCTCAGAAAACAACCTTGCTAAAAAAAATGCCAACCCGAAGAAACAAATTTAACCACTTAAACTCTGATCTCCGAATTTAAGAATCTTTATTCAGAAGAATTATGACGCCTCATGGTGAAAGCCGATGCTCTTCAAAAATCATCAGGCCGACGCTCTTTCTGACATCTAGAGCAAAAATTAATATAGGTAGATGGAATGTCCGGACAATGTGGGAGACTGGGAGGATCATTCAAATAGTTACAGAGATGAAGAAATACAACTTGTCGGCGCTCAAAATGAGCGAACCTCATTGGACCCAAGCTGGACAGAAAATATCAGCTTCTCAAGAGGTGCTGTTGTACTTCGGTCGGATTCCGTAAGCATCGATAGTGCACAGATTAAGTCGAGATACTACGGATCATCGTTGAGCAATCGATTGAATGGAACTCGTCGCTATACACCAACTTCATTGCATATAAGAAAGCGTTTGATAGTATGGATAGGAAAACTTTACGGAACCTTCTCCGACACTATGGAGTACTTGAAAAAATCGTCAATATTGTACGGAATCTATACGACGGACTACACTGCGAAGTCATTCATGGAGGATAGCCGACGGATGCATTTTAAGTGAGAAACGGAGTCAGGAAAGACTGTCTACTCTCTTCCTTTTATTTCTTCTGGTGGTCGACTGGATTATGAAGACCTCAACATCTGAGAGGAAGCGTGGAATACAGTGGGCAGGTTGGATGCAACTAGACGGTTTGAACTTCTCAGATGACATGACCCTTCTATCCCATACACACCAACAGATGCAGTTGAAAACAACTAGTGTAGCAGCAGCCTTTGCATCAGTGAGCCTCAACATACACAAGGGGAAAATCAGGATCCTCAAATACAACATCAGGAACACCAACCCAATCACAATTTATGGCGAAATTCCGGAAGAAGTGGAAAGTTTCACGTACCTAATCAACATCATCGATGAACAAGGATAATCTGATGCAGACGTAAAGGCGAGGGTTGGCAAAGTAAGGGCCGCATTCCAACAACTGAGAACCATATGGGACTCAAGACAACTGTCAACTAACATTAAAGTAAGAATCTTCAATACGAACGTCAAGACAGTTCTGCTGTACGAAGTTGAAAGTTCGAGAACTACCACAACCATAATCAAAGTGGTACAAGTACTAATAAACAATTGTCTACTCAAGATACTCAGTGTCCGTTGATCGAATACCATCATCAACAGCCTACTGTGCAAGAGGACGAACCAGCTTCCAGCTGAAGAGGAAATTAAGAAAAGACATTCGAAGTGGATAGGACATACATTAAGAAAATCATTAAACTGCATCACAAGGCAAGCGCTAACTCGGAATCCTGAGGGGAACTGCAAAGGAGTAAAGCCAAAGAACACAGTACGTTGAGAATTGGAAGCAGACATGAAAATAATGATTAGCAACTAAAAGCACCTAGAAAGAGTTGCCCATGACAAAGTTAGATGGAGAATGCTGGTGGGCAGTCTATGCTCCTCCACGAGGGGTAACAGGCGTGCGTAAGCAAGTAATATTCAAAACTGTAGTTAATCAGTTTCTGTCAATATATATGTAGTACGATCACATGTCTACCGTACGTTTTAAACAGAGAAGTACATTCCATGAAAACTTCGCTGATGCTCCTTTGGACTATGAAGGTTGAACTTCGTTCATCGAGGGCTGTATTAAACAAAAAACGAGTATATTTCTTTTAACTGATTTAGGTGCTCTTTTACACGGCCACGCGAGACAATGATAAAGAGCGTTTGTAGATGCTGAAATTAACAAAACAATGATTACTCGGATGGGATCGTAGATTTAACGAAATCTCTAAATTTAAGATTGGGATACTATTACGTCCTAAGTTACGTCAAATATCGTGAAACAAGATCGTCAGTCAGAACACCAACTTATACGGCTTCCGCCCTATGTTAAACCAATGACTCGTTACGCAGCATGAACAGCCTGGAGTCAACTATGAGTCCTTAATGGTCCTTCTCGCCTACCCCTACCCGTTGAGTCCCGAATACAATTTCAGCCTCCACTGTATGAATAGTATATTTCAGACACACTTGGTTTATATATAAGTAGACCAGACCGCATCTCACGGTAACATAGAAAATAACAATTATACAACGTCAAGCCAAACGTGGCTGTGAGTATTGGAGACTTTAGCTAATAAATCGGGAATAAGTTAAGAATGGTAAATCGCAATAGCCAATAGGTCAAATGAAAAGAATAGGTATATATATATATAGTCTAAGAATGTGTGTAATAATAGTCCACAAATAATTCCTAGCGGTTACCACTCATTCATTATTCGTTAGAATATAACAGATACATATTTTCGATCGACAGTAATCGAATCAGTCATATAGTCAGTAGTTATGTCAGATGTTTAATAAAACATTACGTAATGTGCAATAATACGCAGTAACCAATGTAAACTTTGTGTATTTCTTAGTTCGAATCCAATTTAACCCAGCGAATCGCGATGTGTCACTAGTCTAAGTGACTCGACATCATGTGCATTATATCTTGGTATTCGATAATCGTAGCCATTCAGTAGAGAACGCTAGTCTCATGTTTTATGACACTTGATGTTGGTCTCTTAATGATTCGTGAAAGATTTCGAGCAACGTCACAAAGTATCAAGGTTTGAGATGTCACCAGCCGTAACTAAAACAGTAATGTTAAGTGATGTAAGTCAAAATCTTACAGGAAGCATCAAGATCACAGGTACACTGTGTTGAAATCAAGGCTCAGAGTTTCTTGTCAACTGCCTCCAATAAATCAACATTAATTAAGTAACCCATTGGATTCTGGGTAAGTAAGTAAGTAATAATAAACTAATGTGTTTTAAGTAAATTGTTGTATGGTAAATATATATCTATAGAAGGATAGAAAAGATTGCATTATAAAGTGATTCGAAATTCTTCTTGTCAAATGAGGTTACGCAATAATCAAGGAGTAACAAAAGAATATAAGGATGAAAATAATTTACAGGTCAGAATTATGGAAGATGATTGTCCACTTGACAGATATGAAGGAAAACGAATACATGGACATATATTAAGCAAAGATGGATAGTGGCTGGTAGTGGAATCCGGGCCGCACGTTTCGTCCTATTTGTGACTCGTCGGCTGGATGTACCTGCATCTCATAGTTGATGTTCACTCAGGGACATATATTTACCATACAACTAAAAATACAAATGTACAGCTTGAGTAAATGATTTCGTCAAAAAGAAATTCTAGTGATTGGAATGTAAAACAAATGTAACTATTACTGAATTATTTTTTACAAAATCCAAGCATTGGAAACCTCAATATTATGAATGATTATTATAAGCATTTAGGTGGAAAAAATGTTGTCAAACTGTCATTTCATTATTCTTTGAAGATTAGAAATTTTTTCATTCAGTATTAAATTTTTATGACTACTTCTGGTCACTCACACGATAGACCAGATTTGCTGGATAGAAATTCAGTAGTCCCTCAGATGAGTTTGAATTCATTTGATGGTATGAATAATTATGAACAAGCGCAAGATTTAACTTTTTCTCCTTAATATATTGGTCAATGGATTGACATAAAAAGAAATGAGTTTAAAATAACAATTTGTAATGTAAACGAAGTTGACTTCAAAGTTATCAAACTGCCTCGCCTCCGATACTTTCAGTTAAGAGGAATCACACTATTTATTGATTAAATATGTGAATTATATCCACTTTGTGTCCTGTTTATAACAAATAGACCTCAACTAGATGCTATTCTGGTCGTTGAGGTTCCCGATTTAATAACGATACTACCTCATCGATCACTGAAATACTGTGTAATGAATTATTTTGAATTATTCAATCTCTTTTCAATGTCAGTTTTACGATGGTAACCTATTTTGCAGACAGGAATTAATTGCTTTTGTTCATATTCGATTCAGTATATATATATAGATATATTAATCAGAGTACGGACTGCAGATAATTCAAAATAATAGTAAAATACTTTCATTAGTCATCAAATTTAGGCTATTTTATAAATGGTTTCTTTAGACATAGAATTGCAGAAAATAGACGAATTTAGTTAAATATTTCCATGAAGTATCCTAAACCAGTCAGGTTTCTTACCCATTATACTTTGGAATATGATAACAAGAACACTTGAAAAGTTGCATAAAAAGTTACGCAGAAAATCGCAATTATTAAATTAGCTCCAGAAAGCCGTCCAGTATTTGAAAAAAGAAACCCCTATATTCCCTTGTAGCCTTCAAAGTATGGATGTTAAAGTGCTAGTGGCTGGAGAAAGGACAATTACTGACATGTTGGACAGTACTGATAAAAGTAAACAATTGGCTCCTATATTCAGCCACTTCTGTGTGCAAATAGAATGTTAACCGCTTATTTGTAGAAGGCCAATGGAGTAGAAAGACCATATTAACCCACTACCTCTTTATCAAATATTGTTCAAGATGGCTAGTTAGATGGGAAAATTAATTTATTAAAAGTTCATAAGTGTATCATTCAGTGAACCTAGAGCATAAAATCTTTGGGAGCTCAGAATTTGAGGGTTTGTTCATATTCATTTACTAAGTATGAGCAAAAATATTAGCATATAATGTTTACTATTGAACTCATTTACAAGACTTCTCTACCAATCTTGTATACAAATCATTTATGTTTTTCTACTTTCTTTCTAATAACGTTCATGTTTACATAGTTGTATTTATAATGACTCACTTTACGGTCATACAATATAATCGTAAACATTACTTTTATCTATATTAATAATATTACCATTAGTCTCCGTTATGTTTTAATAATTTTAGCCCTTTGTTACATTGTATATGATCAGAAGGGGTTTGTGGAGATTTTTAGAAATTTTCACAGATTGAAATCATGAGTCAGTTGAAGCTAGACCACCATTGAAAACCTGGAAGCACTGGACGGCCGTTTCGTCCTAGTATGGGACTCCTCAGCAGTGCGCATCCACGATCCCGCACCACGCGGGGCTCGAACCCAGGACCTACTGGCTTCGCGCTCAGTGGTCTAATGGTTAAGTGCTCGCGCGCCAGTAGGTCCTGGGTTCGAGCCCCGCGTGGTGCGGGATCGTGGATGCGCACTGCTGAGGAGTCCCATACTAGGACGAAACGGCCGTCCAGTGCTTCCAGGTTTTCAATGGTGGTCTAGCTTCAAATGACTCATGATTTCAATCTGTGAAAAAAACATTGTATATGAATCATTATCTTTTTTAATAAGTAAAAGACAAATTGTTTTCCCTATCTAAATAAATGAATTTAAGTTATGGTGTTCATAGGCATTATTTGCTTTTATGCCAGTTCTCAATAAGAACATTTCTTCTTAGTAAACAAACACGTGCCTACCTTTTAAGCATTACTGTTACCGATGAAATGGTCCTGTGGATATTTATTTAATTCGAAGGAGTGATTCCTCATTGACCAACTTCGGCTGGAGTACCGTTCATTGTCAGGGAAAGTTTATCAGCTGGTTCACTGGGACTGTTCACTTGTGTTTTCCCAAGAATCTCGCATGAGTCGTACCCAGGAACGTCGTGGAGAGGGTTCGACCATTACACCACTAGGTTGGTATTCAGTGGTACACATCTTCATATTCAGTCGATTAATGTTATTGCACAGTGATTATTCAGTGATGTTAGTAACTACTATTTCACTCCAGACGCATCCAAACTCCACAGGTTATGACTTACAAATCGAACTTCAGAAAATCCCCTTGGAACAAGTCCCCGGTCGGGTCTTGAGTAACACTGTTCTGGAGTCCCATACCATGATAAAACAGTATTTTGTTGCTACCTGATCTAAAATGGTACCCCAATTGAAATCCATCTGTGACGAATACCATTAACATTTTTATTCTTTTTGTACCAACACTAATATTCTGTCAAATATATTGGTTCTAATTTTTAAACATGATTCCAGTCAATTTTCTTGAAAATTCAGAAAAAGCCGACTTCACTTGCTCCACCTTATTTTGGAGATAGATCATGTGATAAAAGTGAATATATTACTTTCGAACATATATATTAGAATTTAAAACCAAATTAACATATGGCTGACTTCGAGGCTACTTTCAATGAAGTATTCTTTTTCACTGTGTTACGGCTCTTAAAAATGATGCCACCTCATGAAACGTGATTCTAATGGAGCTCCTCAAACGATATGAATATTTACACTATAAGTAATCTGGTTAATATTAACAATGAATAGTTAAAACTAAATTTATGATTGAACTAACTTGGGATATTTAAAACTTGTACAAACTTGCATTTCTCAGTTAAATGCATTTTATAAGGATTACTGTCAGATTCATCCTGTTTTTTTCAATCCATCTAAAATTATGTGTAAGCTTATCCTGTGGTTAAGTTTTACAAAAATTTAACTTTTTGTGAATAAATTTGTTTAATTATAAATAATGATCTTATCAGTTGTTGTAAACTTAGAAACGGTTCAGTATATATATGCACCTAATAATCATAACAATTCAATACGTATGTAGATGGTTAACATGTTTTTCTAGTTAGTATTTCAATCAATTACCTTCCTTATCTATGTTTATCTATAGCCAATTGGTTTGATTAATGATCTATTCAACATACTAATTCTGATAGAAAAAATTCATAGAAATGGTGTGACAAACTTTTAAGGACATGAAGGTAATAATAATAATAATTTATATTATCTATATTTGTGGTGTTTATGAATATTTAATTTGTTTTTTTTTTCTTAAAGTTTACCTTTAAATTAATAATTATCTCTTTATCCTCGTTACTGTACTGTCCAATAATTATATTGAACGAAACAAGAATAAGAGGCATAAAATATGAATTCATTTTATGTATAACTGATGATCCTAGTTTACTTTTATTGAAAATCTAATTTTATACATTTTTATTATCTTAATCATAAATAAGTAAACTCATTTGTTAATATAAACATTGTGAAGAATTGTTTCTTAAAACTATTAAGTGTATTTATTTAGGGGTTGTGGAGATAAGTGAATTTCATTGAAGTAATGAAAAGATCAATGTCAGACCACAAATAGGAAATTAGAAGCATTAGACGTCCATTTTGTCCTAGCACGGGACTCCTCAACAGTGGACATACACGATCCTACATGCAGGATTCGAGTCCAGGGTCATCGGTCTAGCGTAAACGCTTAACTTTTAAACCACTGAGTAAGTATCTAACTGCATTAATGTCTCACTTCAACTAATCCATAATGTTTCATGACCAGCTTCGTTTATCTTCAGTTGAAGTACCATACTCGGACGAAACACCTGTCCAGTGCTTCTAGTTTTCTAATGGTGGTCTAACATTGATCACATTGATTCGTCCGCCTAAAATCCAAGTCATGACTATTTAAGTTTAACCATATCTAAAATGAGCCGGTTGCCTTTCACCACACCACTGTGAATGGATGACTGTCCTTTTGTTTCGTGAGTGGCTTGAAGTTGGGAATATTTTCCACTTGATTTCAATTTGGTTGTCCGAATGTATTACATCCTCTAAGGAACCTAGATTTTGTGATTTATCCTACGAACGGGGTATATGAAAGCACTTCTGAGGAGTCACATAAGTAGACAAAACATCTCAAAAGTGTTAAATCCTCTAAACTTACATGACCTTAAATATAACATAAAAGTTGCTTATAAGCTATGCAAAAGAACTAAATAATTAACATAATCATCATCGGTTTATGTAAATGAATGACTAACACTTGCTCCTACAAAAATTGTAACTTAAAGCCTAGTACAAAATGCCTATGTTTTATTACATTTTAGTTACGTAATTCATCACTTTGCTTTACATTTAGTTTGACATTGTTTTTGTGTGACTTTTACAGCTAACTCATGTAAAACACCATTTTGTAAATTACTGAAAAATAGGCCGTAAATATTTAGTTGGATTCGAAATTTCAGTGAAAATTATAAAGATCTATAGATACAGAAAAATGTTGACGATTTCTTGTTGGCAGATAATTATTTCAATTAATATCATGTATGGATGAATGGTAGACCACTATTGAAAACCTGGAAGCACTGGACGGCCGTGGCTAGTAGAGTTCATGCGTGTCTGTTATAGAGGCCGTTACTCACTGAAGACGATGGTGGACGGTCGGATTGATTAAAGTTAGACATTAACACCGTTGAATGTCGATCGGCTCAGTGGTCCACATTTTAAGTGTCTGTCCTGAGTTCGAGTCCCGTGTGCGCAATCGTGAATGCGAACTGCTGAGGAGTCCCATACTAAGACAAAACGGCCGTCCAGTGCTCCCAGATTTTCAATAGTGGACTAACATTCATCCATTCATTATAGCAATCGAAATTCAACAATTTCCACAACCCTATACTGAAAATAATTATATATATATATATATATATATATATATACCGTGTCTATTTTTATTTTAAAAAATCCGCATAACTTTATATCTTCTATTGTCCGTACTCGGAATCCTTTTCTAAGCAATAATGTAGAGAATAATTAGGTTGGAAAATATAATGATTTTAACAAAGTTCTTCCTTTATTCTTTTTTTCTTTTTTTAAAGTAAAAGGGAAATTATTAAAGTTGTATATGGGAACTAATGAATAACGAAATTTAAGAAATAGATGATAATTAACTCGTCAAATTATTTAACTTAATTAAGTCTGTTAAAATTAATGAGATTTAAACAAATGTAAGTTTTCAGTAAAAAGAAGCGTCTTTCACAGTAAGATTTGTTACAAAGTATTACCTGATCGATTCAGATAACTCGTGCTATTATTAATGTCAACAATAATGAGAGATTGAATATAAAAAAGAAACTATTTGTTCATTAAATTCACTTGGTATTGTTTACTTGAACATTCACATTGATGTTTAGGACTGCAATCAATCAGTCTCTTATTGATATATGTGCACACTGTGAGTATTGCCTCGATATTGCTAAGAGACTGATCAATTTCAGTTCTAAACATCAATGGGAAAATTCAAGTAAACAATGCCAAGTGAATTTGAACTCCACCCCGTTGCGCAAGCAAGTGGCTATCAAGATTCAGTAGCTAAGTGGATAAAGCGATGACGAAGTGAACATCAACTATGAGATGCAGGTACATCCAGCCGACGAGTCACAAATAGGACGAAACGTGCGGCCCGGATTCCACTACCAGCCACTATCCATCTTTGCTTAATATATGTCCATGTATTCGTTTTCCGTCATATCTGTCAAGTGGACAATCATCTTCCATAATTCTGACCTGTAAATTATTTTCATCCTTATATTCTTTTGTTACTCCTTGATTATTGCGTAACCTCATTTGACAAGAAGAATTTCGAATCACTTTATAATGCAATCTTTTCTATCCTTCTATAGATATATATTTACCATACAACAATTTACTTAAAACACATTAGTTTATTATTACTTACTTACTTACTCAGAATCTAATGGATTTACGGATATAAATAATCTGGTTAATACAAACAGGTTAGTTCTGAACTATCGGTGATCTGTTGTATAGACGAAAACAATACACCTGTAGTCTTGTACGTATTGTGACTTTCAGCTGATCATCTTGATCATTAGTTACAAACCGAGATCTTGGAAACTGTTTGTGTGCAAGTCTACCTAAAGTTGTTGACACTTGAATCAAACCTAAGAAAGGCTCATGTATAGTTCTTTGTGTAAGACTGCTAACTGAAACCACAAAGTAAGAAATGAGTGACGAAATGTGTAACAAACGAGAATCTAAAGAGCTTAAATCCAGAGGAATCCCGGGGGTGCTATGAACAATGGGATTAGAAACTAGAAAATTTCATCACTATGAGGATGGAACATTTTGAACAGATAACTCATGAATAAAATAAATAGTAATTTAATAATAATTATAGTAATAATAATAATAATAAAGTAAAAGTCACATTAAATCTTTCAAATACAAACGCCAGTTTTTTTGAAATCCAAACTCTTCATTTATTGTAGGAGTAATAATAATTAGAAATAGTATTACAACATTCTGGTATTAATGCTTATGGTAATGTCTCAAAATGAAATTAACACTAAATATTTCTTGTTTGCCTTTACTATAAAATATTCATTGAAAACTAAGGAACATTCGGCAGTTGTTAAGTTTTTTGATGAATCTTTTCATGATTCTGTCAGGGTCGAAACGCACAACATTCAACCTTGTCTGTAAGTTTATAAGTTTAAATAACTTTATTATTAGAAATTTATAATACTGTGAAATGAACATAAACTGTTTACTCTTTAAATTCACCGTTTGAATAGTTAAAATCTGTTTATGTAATCTATGCGAAAATCAATATACTTACCCAAAAGCGTTGTTTTTGTGTATCTGTTTCTTTTTTGTATTTATCGTTATTGGTTATATCCGTTAATGATTGTTTTTGAATTCCACATTCGGATTTTTCTTCGAATTCTGTGCTTGTATTTGATTTTTTCCTTGATCCAACTCTTTTAGGCCATGCAATTGGCATAGATATTGATGTTGATGAACCAACTGGATTTCTACACAATGACTTACTTTTTCCTTCATGAATCTCATGTGATTTCATTTTTAAACCAAAACAATAATGAGACGATGTCATGGAATCATCTGCAGTTGATTCAACAATATCGCCATGATTATGATTAGGCTTGCATTTTGTTTCTTGTTCCATTTGTTTTAGTTTAATAAATTAGACGTTTTGCCTATAAAAAAAACAATAAATAGAAAAGTTCAGAACTTTGACTTATATGTTCTTACTGGTACGAGCAGGATAACAAATGAGCGAATAACAGCACATTCATATTTCATTTCATCTACCGCTACTCCGGATGTTTGATAGTACTGGGGAAACAGTTATTACAACCTACTTTCTCAACAATAAACTTTACAAAATATGGGTTTAGATTATATGTTATCACATCATCTACAAACTTATTTTACACATAATGTCATACATGTATAAAGACCAGGTCAATAGCTTCTATGATCACTTAAAGTTCATATTATATACCAAAATAAATATAATAGACATTCCTGAAAAAATAACACCAAGTCTGTAATTTGATTAACTATTTATGCATAAAATCAGAATATTGAAATAGAACTTAGGCAAGTGATGAAAGTAAAATTAAAGTATGTTAATGCTCTATTTAGTATGATTCTTTCGCTGAGATTTTACAAATATATTCTTCCGCTTTTAATAATTAAAAAGTGTGGAGATTTTAGAAATTTCACTGATTGAAATCATGAGTCAATTGAAGCTAGACCACCATAGGTCCTGGGTTCGAATCTCGCGGGGTGCGGGATCGTGGATGCGCACTGCTGAGGAGTCCCATGCTAGAACGAAACGGCCGTCCAGTGCTTCCAGGTTTTCCATGGTGGTCTAGCTTCAATTGACTCATGATTTTAATTTGTGAGATTAAAAAGTGTGTTAAGAAAAAGAC